GATTTGAGAGAGCGCTGTCAAAGTCCACATTTTTTTAACATTTGACAGTGGTGCCATTAAGGAAGAAATAAGTTTTGAGATTTTTAAATGTATTTCTTGGGTATTTTTAGGTTTCCATTTTACAGAAAAATATGCATAATTAAAATTAGTTTAACAAGCTAGATATCCTATATGACTTCTAAATATAAGTACATGTATAGAATAGATAGTGATTGAGGTATGCACCGCGACTATGGTCTATTGTGCCTCCCTAAGTCACAGCGACTCATCTAGCCCTAGCGTATTGATGAACTCCATAATACTGCTAGGCGCCAATGAGGCGATGCGATCCCTGTTTGGAAACATGGATCCCAGGGCCTTGACTCTACGTCTGCAGACAGCTGTGCAGTCCATTAGTAGGTGTTCTGGGGTTTCCGACTCCATGTCGCAGAACCGGCAGTTTGCAGAGGAGACCAAGCCCATGTTAAATAAATGCTTGTTAAGCCTGCAATGTCCGGTGTAGAACCCGACCAGAAGTACATGTATACTTTAATCACAAAAGATTTTCAAAATTAACGATAAAAAAAATGTAACAAATATTTTAATATTTCAAAACACACAAGTTTAAATAACCTAAACATGATCCTTATTTCTTTTTATATACTCAATTAACAAATATATTTTGATAATTTATTTGGAAGTCAAAGTTTACATAACATTTGCTGGGAATTCTAACCAAAATAAGTATATACGTTGGCAATGGTACTGCTAAGCAAAATAATACTCTGCGACAAAATACCACTCTTTCTTAAAACAAAACTATATTAAATCTCTTTAAATAAAGATTACAATATACGTAAAAGTCAACAAAAATCTGATCTCACAAATTACCCACTGATTTCGCAATTAATTCTCGCGGATTCTTAGTGGTAGTTCATTGTTTTGCTTGTCATCTGTTCAGTAGCTCATGAACTAGTGGTTTTCTTGGCAGCACTGAAAGTTTATGAGCTCTTTCAGAAAGCAAAGAGAGGAGTTTCGGTCATATTATCTATGGTTTTAACCAGCGATCGAATATATGCATCGATAAAATGAAATCATCAATTTTAAGCTTTCGATAAATTGAATGTATTTGTATCTATTCTCTAGTATTTTGCTGTTATTCAAATTATAAAGTTAAAAATGTAATCAATAGCTTGTAGGATATCATTTCCATATATTTTGAATATATTGTACATTTATTTGAAAAAATTTATCGGTAATATTGTGAGGTTATTTATCGAAACATCGATGCATTGCCATAGATTATCGTATTAAAGGTCAATTTCATTAACAGTATTATAATTGACGACGTGGTTTATATATTTTGTGATTGTATAAATTTAAATTGAATTGCAATAGATAATTTTGCGTTAAAAATGTTTATTGGTTATTATTTATTTAAATCGATAAAATACCCACATTGAAAACATTTTTATCTTCCTTATTTCTTAAATCATTGAACTGATTTCAATAGTTTTTATTGTAATAATTTGTATATTTTAATATATGTACGTACATAAAAATACATTTAAATATATGATGATGAGCTTCTCCATTTATTTTTTTTCATTCGCATCATTCACAGATCCGATTATGGATTCTAAATCCTTTGTATCTGTTGTCCCATTCCAGTGGAAGTATTTCGCTTTGCACATTTTCCGCCCATTCTTTAGGATGTTTTCGCTTTCGATGTGCATACATATTCGCATTCGAATTGAATGTTTGTGGACAAAATGAACACGTATATAAAACTTCTCCGGTATGAGTTGTCATATGTTCCTACAACAAAATAGTATTTTATTAGAAAAATAAAGCTTACCAAAAACATATAATTGTACATACTCGTAAGTCTTTGGGTCGTTTAAAAGCTTTGTCACACATTTTGCAGATGTTTTTTTCTCTGTGGCATGCATAAATTTAAAGTGGGTATGATGCGCGCGGAGAGACGGTGATATTTTAGAGCATACTGGGCAAACTTGAGGTGTTTGATATTCCTCGTGTGCATTACTTTCATATGCCGTGCTAAACCATACTTCGTCGTCAATTCAGCATTACATAATTCACACTTAATCGGTAATCTTGGTAACCAGCGTGCTCCTGCTGATGCCGGCGAAATGCTTCACCTCCATGGAAAGATTTCCACAAATGTCACATATCTTCGCATACGAATGTAGATGAACTATTTTTAAATGCTGTAGCATATTGTATTTGTAGCAGAAGCTGCAAATATCGAATAGATTCAGAATTGGTGTTAAAAATGAACTCTATCATACTTACGTCTTCACATGAGGGCATTTGATATTCTTCTGTTCTTCAGGTGCGTGTATAACGTAGTGTCGATTGAGTAATTCACGACGAAAGAATCCTTTAGAACAAATATCAGCGATAAATACGTTCTCTAGAACCGTGTGAAAATTGAAATGCGCCTCAAGGCCACGCCCATCGGCAAATAGTTTTTCACAATGTTCGCATTTGAAGTATTCTGGTTGGTATGAAATTTTATATGATCAACAAGTACACCACGTCTGATTAGTTTTTACCACACACCTTCACATAACCATTAGTCTGATGCTCTTCCCGAAAATGAATTTTAAGTTCTCTAAAGTTTTCTAGTGGGTTTTCGCAAAGAGCGCATGTTAGTTTAAAATTTTTGCAATAAACTTGTCATAATCCGATGTTTTATTTCGTTGTGTATTTAATTCCTTCACCTTACTTTTTTCTCCGTACGCTTTCGTTTTTGTCTTTTCCTGGTACGGACTGTTTTCTGTTTATGTGGTGCACCTGTTTCTAAGTCCTTTGCAGGACTGCTAGGCTCTGCATCTCCTGATTCGTTGTCTTTATTAGACATTTGTGGTGAGTAAATTGGATCAGTAGATTCGAATTCATCCGGTATTAACTCACTCTTAACTTCCAAAACTCCAAGTTTTTATCTTGTGTTTTGTTAATTATACTGTTATAAGGAAAAGTAAGTGGTTCAATTCGAACACTGCACTCTTTTAAAACAATTGATGACTGCGCTTCCAAAGCATGTTCGTTGGGCTTTTCTCGCCGTGGTCGTCCACGACGACGTTTTGGGGTGAAGCAAGCTCGTCTAATGCATCAGGTTCCATTTTATATCAGTAACGGTCATCTCTAACTCTTGCAAGGACTTGAGCGTGTTAGTTGCCGCCAAGTGAGCGTTTTGTACGCGGAGATAGAACTCATGAAATGATTGTAAAAGTCCCCAGCATTGTTGACATAACACTTTGTTTGTAAGGTACGGCATCATGGTTAGCTGTATTTGGGAATTGACACATGTACAATATAAACTATAATAAGTCCTTTAACAAAAGGTTTACCTCTTCCTTAAAATGTTGTTCAACCATTGCACGAGCATTTACTGATTGCGGATCATCAGAATCAATATAAATTTGACCATTTGAAACATTGTTTTTCAAGCATAATAAACAGGACAGTTTGTCAAACATCATCGTTTTATAAAAAACAAAACCTAATTATGGTTTTATGAAGTGTGTTTCTTAATATTTTATTTTTAAACTACAAAACCTATAGTTTATATGTAAAAAATGTTGCCACCTGATACAAGTTTTATTTTTAAAGGAGATGTTATAGGAGATTAAAGTAAGTATTTATGGAATGAAAAGACTGCGATTTACAATAAAAATTAAAATTAAAATTACTGATAGAGAATGTTTTTAGATTAATAATATATAGGCTTACAAATTTTAGATTATTTGTTAATATAATTCATAAACTTAACATGTTTAATGTCTTTTTGGATATGCTAACCTGTTTTTGTTTTTGTTATATTACGTGTAAATCGCGTGTAACGACATCACTTAATAAACCTTCGATAACAGCTGATTTTGTTTGAGTATTTTGTTGTGGCAAAGTGATTAGTTTTTAATGGGGTGGGCTTTAGTTTAGCATCCCACGATTTCAGGGTTAAGAGGGTATGGTTGGATAGAGAAGATTCTCCAGATCACGAATATATATAATTATTGCCGCCGGAAACTTATAGTTTTCGAGATATTTGCATTTTAAGTTGAAAATTTCACAAATTTCATTTTACAATTTCTCGATTTATGGTTATATTTTCTTTTATATATGCACTTATATAACACTAACTTTTCACTTCAGTGTTTCTACATATTAATTTTATATTAAATATTTAAGTATTTGCTTTAAATAAGCATTTAATTTTTACACAATTTTCGTAATATGAACAATAACAAATGGGTTCCATGTTGTCAGATAATAAGTGTTGCCATATCTATTGTATATATATATATATATAAATATATATTTTGAAAGCGAATTAAAATGAACAATAAAAGAGGATTATACCCCAAATATATGAACTATTATTTTGATCATTCCCTTCTATTGATAAATTATGGTATTGGATTGGCCAGGGTTATTTTTTTAAAGCGCGGCCGAAGGCCGCCAGTGCAGAAAGAAGTTTGACGCGATTGAATTATGATCACCCCGGTGTTGGACCGACCAGGGTTATTTTTTTGAAGCGCGGCCGAAGGCCGCCAGTGCAGAAAGGAGTTTGACGCGATTGAGTTATCAACACCCCGGTGTTGGACCGACCAGGGTTATTTTTTTGAAGCGCGGCCGAAGGCCGCCAGTGCAGAAAGAAGTTTGACGCGTTGAATTATGAACACCCCGGTGTTGGACCGACCAAGGTTATTTTTGAAGCGCGGCCGAAGGCCGCCTGTGCAAATAAAAATCTTTACAAAAAAAAGCAATGTTAAAGAGAATATATCACTCTCTATAAACTTCAATTTTTATTAAGGATAATTATAATAACAGTGAAGATTTTGAAAATTTGATATATGAATACATATGGCGTAAAATCCATTTGTGAAATTATCAGATGCAATAAAACATACGTTTAAGCCATAAAACCTTTTTCTTTTATTAAAATGGAAAATTAAGTTCATAATATTTTGTAGAGGGTGATTGGGTTTTTTTTATTTTTTCATTGCTTTCATCCGTTTGGATATGGCACACTTATTATCTACAACCATGGAATCCATTTGTTATTGTTCATATTACGAAAATTGTGTAAAAATTAAATGCTTATTTAAAGCAAATACTTAAATATTTAATATAAAATAAATATGTAGTAACATTGTAGTGAAGTGTTACTGTGTAATAAGTGCATAATATAAAAGAAAAGATAACCATAAATCGAGAAATTGTAAAATGAAATTTGTGAATATTTCAACTTAAAATGCAAATATCTCGAAAACTATAAGTTTCCGGCGGCAATAATTATATATATTCGAGATCTGGAGAATCTCCTCTATCCAACCATACCCCTCTTAACCCTGAAATCGTGGGATGCTAAACTAAAGTTTTCCCTTTTAATGAAATCAATAAATAATAATACAAAGATGGATGATTGCGCTGATGATTCTAAACAGGAACACTTGAGACTGGCATCGATCATCAAAGATTGTCACGACAATTTGAGATCTCAATCCAAATTGAAAGGAATGAAAGATGCTTGGAGTGAGCACTTACAGAACACTGCGCTTTTGGAGCAATACTCGACAGCTATGCACCGTTTAGCTTCTATTTGGGAAACTAACACTACTAATCCCAACTTATATGCGCGCAGTCGTGTAAAATGGATAATTGACTACTGCAATTCATACTTTTTTACAAAAAAAGTATTTATCGAAAAACGTGATCGCGAACAGCGACTGGCGGCATCATACACTGGTATGCCAACTTTTGATGCAAGTGAATTAAGAACATCATTTACAAATTCTGTAAATGTACTCGATGTAGGCAGTTGTTTTAATCCCTTTGCTGACGAAAGCAATTTCAATGTCACCGCTGTTGATCTATGCCCAGCAACAAGTGATGTTCTAAAAGCAGATTTCTTAAAAATTATGCTAGACAAAATAGACAAAAAAATAGTCATCGAAGATGGAGAAGTTCTACGCTTACCATGTGAATATTACGATTGTGTTATATTTAGTCTGCTATTAGAATATATACCATCGTCAGAGGAACGACTACATTGCTGTCAAAAAGCATACGAACTTCTGCGTACCGAAGGCATTTTGATAATCATAACACCCGATTCACAGCATGTAGGCAAAAATGCGAAATTAATGAAAAATTGGCGTTACACCCTCGGTACGTTGGGATTTTATAGAGTCTGTTTCGAAAAACTGCCACATATCACTTGTATGGTATTTAGAAAATCGCTTATTCCAGTAGTGGCACAACGTTGGGCTGAATTGCATCGTGAGGATTACATGTCAAAGACAATACACATACCACAAGATAAAGTGTGATTGCCAGCATTACATATTTTTTAATACTTGAGTACGAAAAAAGTGTCGCTTTTTTATATTATTTTCTATTAAAAAATAATAAGTATAGTTTAATTATGTAAAACTCTTTCAAGCATGCCTTTATTTGTATGTATATATGTACATACTTATACAGTTTTGTATAACTGTTGAAATACTAGTTATTGTGAGCGACTTATATTTAACTTAATAAATAACTATGTTTTTATGATTTTATATATATGTATATATATTTCTCTTTGATCTCAATGAATCTTATTGAATAGTCATTTCTAAATGTTGTTGCACGGCATCTGGATTGGCATTGACACTTTCTGTACTGATTGTACTACCACTCGTGTTAATCTTTTGCGCGAAAAAAGCCGTTGCTGCACCTACAGCTTGTTTTGCTTTCAAAGCGGCTGTCGCACCCATAGCCTGCGCCATAATATTTGCTATATGCCTGGGCTTTTTCCTATCTGCCTCCCATTCAGCACGATGCAAACGCTGTCTATGCTTATACATATTAGCATTCGAGAAGAAAGTCATTGGACAATTAGGACAGGTATATAACACTTCACCGGTATGTGTTGAGGTATGTTCCTATAATTACAAAATACAAATGTGAATTTATATAAATTTGTGTTTAGTCAACGGTTATTGATTACCCTAAGATCTTGTGGTCGCTTGAATGCCTTCTCGCACATTGTACATTTGAATTTGCGCTCACATTCATGATTGAGGTAAATATGGCGCCTGAGTGCGCGCGATGTCGTCGAGACTTTATTACAAATCTGGCAGCGATGTTCACCACCCGGATCTTCATGAATCGATTTCATATGCTGTTTAAGGCCAGACATGTGTCGCAACCAAGTACCACAGATCTGACACTGCATTGGCTGAGGCACAGGTCGTGGCACTTCGGAATGCTCCAGTTGATGGTGTTTCTTCAGGTACTGCGTGCGCACCTGTTTGCCGCATTTGTCACAAATAATTGTGCTCTCCGGATCGTGATTGTATTTAATGTGATCCTTGAGCTTACGTTGTGTTGGTAATCTAGTAAAGAAAATATATACATATATTTTCAATAACAAAAAAAAAAAATCGTTGAAATCAACTCACTTTTTATTACACTGAGTGCATGAGAATTTGAATTCTGACTTGGGTACATGCTTTGAAAAGGAGTGATGTTCAAAAGCTGCCTTTGTTGTGAAAACTTTCGGACATTTGTCACACTGGAACATTTTGCGTTCCTTCGGTTCGGGCGGATTAACATGTGCCTCTTCATGCTGCTCGAGGTTACGACTGTCGGTGAATAGTCTACCGCATGTAGTGCATTTAAAGTGTTCTGGATTCCAATGTAAATATATATGCTCGGCCAATGCTTTTCTTTGTGGAAATTTGCGACCGCAACACATCATATAACCCGGATCCTCATTATGTGAAGCACGAAAATGCCCACGTATTTCGGCAAAATTTTGTACCAGCAATTCGCATTTCGGGCAAGCAAAACGTCCGAAAAATTGACGTATTACTCTATCGTATTCATCTTGTTGTGCACGCTTCGCCTCGATCTCCTCACGTGACATACGTTTAGGAGGCACAATTGGTTTTTCGCGTTTACGATACTTTTTTGGCTTGACAATCTTTCTTTTCGGTATAACAGCATATTGTGGCTTAGGTTCGAAGTCGGGTAAACTTTGATCAGAATCCGTATGTTCGCTGCTGGAGTCAACGCTATCATCGGTACCAGATAAACCGCCCTGGACAGTGTCAAAATCGTGATCATTATCCACAAATTCGTCGTCGCTGTGCAAAATACCACACTCATTTTTTATGTCACCCTTCGTGTCATCTTTCTTATTCGATTTTTCTTCGTCATTCCGTATTTTTCTAGGTCTGCCACGTCTTCTTTTCTCTGGTTCCGCAGTTGCAGTAGTTGTAACTTCTTTTTCAGTTGTTGCTTCGTCTTGTGGTGATGTATCAATAGAGGATTTAGGATCTTCCTTGGTATCAGTCTTGATACTAGTATTTAGTAAGACAGATAAAGGCAATTCGGTTTCTGAATCATCATCGTCGTGATTTTCAGCACACGGCTGAGGTGTTTCTTGCTTAACACGTTTAGTGGTCGCCGATATTTTGGCATTTGCATCTTTTGGTGGACGACCTCGACGCTTTGCGCGTTGTGCTCTTTCACTTATGGGTGTGCTCTCTTCGATGATTTCGATTTGTGGTAATAAATCTAAGTCGTACACTTCCAATTTTACTTCTAAATATTTTTTTACATCAAAATTTATTAGTTGTGCACAATAAAAACTTGTTTTTAGTATATTCACACAAACCTGAATCGAATATGTTCTCTTCCACATGCATAGAGTTTTGTAACTTTTCCTCAGCATCGATCGCGTTTTCCGATTTTAGATGGATTTCTTGTGGCAATGGATCATTTTCCTGCTCCTGCTCAATATGAGCAAATGGAGTCTTCCAATCGGCACGATTATGTACCTCGGCTATACGTTGATAAAATATATGAAAATCACGCAAAGCCTCCCAACATGTCCAACAGATGCGTTGCCCCGTACATATATCCCGTTCGGGCTAAATATCGCTCCGCAGTTAATAATTAAATTTTATTTATTACATTTTTTTTTTCACTTACTTTCAACCAAAGATGCTTGGCTATAATGCTGCAGACTGTCATTTGGCAACCTTCTTCAGAGAAAATATCAATGAAACGTTGTGCCGGTGTTGTAGCATCCTCCATGCAAAGCAAACAAGCCATTGCACAAGTGTTGAAATATTATATTTTTTATATTAAACGCAATTATTTGTCGTACATTTGCTTTAAATATCTTTTCAAAGCATAAAAATGACACAAAAACACAACTAAAATCAGCAACTACTGAAAATACACAAAACTGCAACAAAAGCGTACTCGCTACCCCAAACAAGCTATGCAAAAAATATGAGAAACGTCAAACTGACAGACATCATAAGCGAAATGTCAGCGCTGTTCAAAATAGGAAGCCAAAATTTAAAATAATTTTTTTTGTAAATTATATTAAAATTTAAATATTAAAGCCGAGTTTTTAGTTTACGAAACTTATTTGAAATTCGCATTTCACTTTTTTTTTTACAATATCGCATAAAGTACGTTGATCAAAACACGTATTTAGACTGGCAATGCTATTTACATATTTGTATTGCTAACCAGTGTTTGCTTTTGCGTAGATACATAGTGGTTGTTAAGAACTAAATTTTTAATATTTTAACACATATTTTAGTTGTAATTAATTTTTTTCTTTTTATTTGTGCATTTTAAATTGTATAGTCTTAAAATAAGTACCATATATATTAATCACAAGTTTTTAAAATAAGAAATAAATTAAATTAAGGTTTGAGTTTGAAGTGTAATATATTAATTTCTAAAGTTTATAATCATTTGAAAAAAATAGTATATTAAATTTGTTGTTAAAACTTTTTGGGTTTTTCATATGATTTCTTTTTGAAGAATTTTATATATATTTTAATAGAAAATCCAGTTGCTGGTTGTTTCGAAAATTTTTTTTCTTAATTTCCGTATAAGAACTATACACGATTTCATACACCCATACATATGTATATAAAAAGTGTTTACATTATAATTAATATAAAATATACATACATATATCAAATTTCTAAGTGAATGAGAATAAAATTAGGATTTCCGGTGATCAATAAAGCTCACGGTGAACTGCTGCCCATAAAGTGTTTAACTAGCCAATATGTACATATTTAACGGCTAGTTCACCCGCAACTATTTGTTGGACTCAGTTTGGCGCACGCCATATTTACTCCAGAATGTAACGGGACATTTTATACGCTTGCCAGAGTTTTTATGAAAAACAGAACACTCATTGAAAGGTGGACAATATAAATGCAGTGAAACAGCGGTCTCAATGTGACTCGGATTCTCTACACGATGCAAGCCGAGGTTATCTAAAATTATAAAATAAATGAGTTTAATAAACAATTCCATGCTAAATTGTCGGATGACACGCTTACCATTTATGTATGCCACATCATTAACAGTTATTGTGGTGTCACCCTCGGCTGTCAGTTGTTCACTATCGAAATCATGCTCCCCCTCACTATCGCTATCCACTTGACCAATGTCCGCGTTGGGCATCTCTATGGACTGAGTGCATGGCATTTTGTAGCGCGTCTCCTTCAGATCACCCTTAAGCATCTTCATGAAACAATGCGAATCGGCGTGATCGTGTATGGCTGAGCCTTGACCTTCACCCCAGCATAAGATCATCAAATTGAATTTGCCATTGCCGGCGTCGACCAGATTGCGCGTGTACTTGAAACGATCGAACTTGGCGAAGCGCTTCCATTCGCGTGCATTCGATTTGTATGTCAACATTATGTGATTGACCATCTCGATATTCACGAAATTCGTTTCGAACTCTTTGTGTAATGCAGTGATCAAGTCATTAAGGCTATCAATGCTGGGACCATATTTAAGCGGCTTTTCTATGCCACAAAAATAGCGTGTAGCTTCACGCAAATAACGCTCCTGCTCCAAATCCACGTTTCCGCTGTCGACTTTAGAAAGCGCCATGTCGCTGCAAGTTTTATTAACCTGTGTCGGCAGAAAAAAGTAAGGATTAGTCTTTTTTCTTTTTAAAGCTTAGAGTATAACTATTTTAGTGAGTACCTTACTGAAAATTTATAAAGACGCGTCTTCTTACGACTGACCAAGTATTATTCTAAAATCTTATCTTTTGTGATTGGTTTCCTATAAATCGCACGTAGGACATAGTATGTTAAACAAAAGACTGCCATTGAAAGAACCTTCACAAATATGTCCGTATTTAATTCCTAGTTAATTGGTCAGAATATACTTTCTCTGATTGCTTAGGTCTTTTGTAACCTAAACATTTTTGATTGAGTCCATAGGAATACCCGAATGAATGAGGTAATTGGATTCACCAACACAGAGGAAGTATCCTTTTACCCATTTTTCCATTAAAAATTTTCAAAGCTGGTGAGCCTGTAATATTTTTTATAACACCTTCGAACGCGTCATTATCTACGGGTGTTTCCATTTAGCGAACTGTGGAAGAGGTTTCCTTTACTACTTCGATAATTGAAAGCCAGCAAGATCCGTAGTTTCAACGTGTTTTTTTAGCATGAAAAATTAGAAACTATTTGGTATATTTCTTTGTACTGCCTCACTTTTGCTGGGCTAAGGTAGAAACCAACCAGAGGAACTAGTTTGAATCGCTAGCAATAGGCTTAGCACATTTTTGATGAGCTCCAGGCGTTTTAACGATACCGGAGAGTTTAGACCCGGTATCATAAATGGTCTATTGTTAAAGTGTGACCTCCCTCTCGAGGATCAGCCTAAACTAACCTACGCCATGTCAGAAAAATTATAGTGGATTTATTTGATTAGCTCTAAGAATTTTGTTTAAAATGGCTCTCGTATTTTGTCAAATATTTTTTTAAAAATGTACATATATGTATTTTCAATTTTATGATCAATTATCTCTATAATGCTTGTTTCAATTTTGTAACATTTAAAAGCGAATTGACTCAATTGACATTACTGTATATTTAACGGTAAATTTCTATGTATTTGATAACCGCTTTTTAAAATACTTTTGTGTGTGAATATTTAGTAGTTTTAATTTCTGGAGTACATGTACATGTATGTATATATTGTATGTATGTATATATCGACCAAATTTTGTGTATGAGGAGCAGAAATCATTTGTGATGATATTTTTTGAAACAAAAAAAAAAAAAAGCAAACAGTTGTAGTTCCGTTACATCTGTCCTAGACACTTAAAACAGTCGCGTACTTGTGGTATATGTACAATATATACATACATATGTATGTATGTGTTTGTATCTGTACGTATGTAGATAAGCTCTGATTTGTTATGGTTTCTGGCTTTAGATTTTTTTAAAATATAAAAACATAAATACATATTTAAAAAAAAGGTTCACCATCACTAGGCATGAGCGTGTCATGTGAGCTTTGCTATAATAAAACAAAACAGCTTTATTTTTTTGCAATGTCAAAATTTGCAGTTTAAATCTCTATCAAAGTCTAAGCGCCATATTATTATTGACATTGTCCAATATACAAATATATATAATATGCAGATTGACTGAATTTTGAGTGTATGTACATATATACTGGCTGTTGGTTTGGCTACACCACTAGGCTTAAAAATGCGAAGTCTCGGATAGTTGGAGCTTCAATAATTGATATAAAATGTGGAATTTAAGTTACAACAATGAAAAGTGAAATGAAAGTGGTCAAAGTTCCATTACTTAAAAATCATACCAAATTTATTTCAGTTAAAAAGATTTTCACTATAATTGAATAGTAAAACATTTAATTTCGACAGGTGTTTTTTACACCCTGAACAAATGCATACTTTACTTTACTTATACTCAAAACTTGAATGATTGATTCACATTTTGCACACGTTAACAGTTAAACTCATCATTAAAAACTCGTGAATTACTGTAATTTCCGCAAAACGGTATTATTTGTGGTTGCGGCATGTTTATAATCGCATCAATGATAATCTTAGGAGCATATTTTTAATTTTGGCGCTGTAAAAACGTATTCGTTCTTATCAAAGCTACATAAATTTCTTATCGCTTATATAAGTATATGCATGTAAATACACCTTTGATTGTGTTATTATATGAGTGTGATCTACTATTTTCTGTAAGCAGCGGTTATAGATTGGCAATAGTAAAGCGAATTCCTGCATTTAAATAATTTATAACGGTGTTAATTTTAAGCTAAGTTCACACCACACAATCCTTGGCTCTACGTAATCAGAAGTGCCGAATTTGTAAAAGGTCGAGCATTATGGCTTGTGCCGCATTTTCCAAAACTATTTAGTGTATATTTTAAATTATGCAACAACAACATGAGGTTACATAAGTACATACATACCTATCTCACACACACACTCATTTGTCTTATCTCTAGGCTAAATCGATATTTTTAAAACGTAATTGAAATGTAGGGTTATTTATTTCGTATGTACATATATACATAAGTGTGAACACTCAATACTTTAAGGTCAATAATCATTAATTAATCGGCTGATTACGGCTTTAAAATTTGATTTTTTCTATGTGTTAAAGATAAATAGGTGTTAATGGAAAATTCCTGGCTACAATTAACACTTTTTTAAATAGAAAAAAAATTCTCTAAAAATATAATTTTTCTTTCAAAAAATATCCTTGTAACGTGCTTTAAACTTACACTTGAGTTTAAGTGCTTTCCTTTTGTGTGTATCCGTTATTTTTGTTGTAAACAATTTTTTTATACATACAGTTTTTTGCTTAAAACTTCGATATTAAATTGAAAATATTTTTCGATAATTTGTTTTAGTTTTTAATTTTTTTAAGTTGATTTAAGCTCGACGCGCACGTTTCGAAAAAGAGAATATGAATGATTTAAGAAGTAAAATTCTTCGCTGAGCTGAAATTGAAGGTCGAGATAGCATCCTTTAATCTAATTGTAGCAAATATATACCTTAGCTACAATTTTTGTAAATAAAATAAATTATATAATTAAATATGTACATATGTACATCAATTCAAGATGTGGTATAATATACAGACATACATATATTATCCGCATATATAAATATTACTTATTGAAAATATACCATATTTTGTGTTTGTTTACTTTTTTCCTGAAAAAATGGCAAATGCAATTTTATAAAAACCGATATTCCGCAAAAAATCTCGCATTACTTTGGAAATGTTACATAAAATTTGAGAAAAAGTTTGAGATCTAAGCGATAATAATACAAGTTAAAAACAATAATATTTATTTCTTATCCGAATATGTTTGTATGTTAGTTTAATTAAGAGAAATTTGTAGTAATTTTACGAAAATAAAAATATTTATTTATTTATGTGCAATAAGATTAGTGAGAATAGTTATTATGAAGAAAATATGTTATGAACTTTCTCACATCACATACTAAAGTACGTCATGCTTAGCTTAAACAAATTAAGTAAAATAAAAAATAAACAAAAATATTTATATTATACGCAGTTGAATTAATATTATAAATTAATTAAGGTGTTGCCACCAAAGTATCTTCAAAAACAAATTTTTTTTCGCGCAAAAGCCATTTTAGCTAAGATGAACCATTATTGATCAATTGGAAATATCAAACCATTTGTAAAACTCCGACCGGAGCAAATTTCTCAAAACAGTTTTTTTTTGGCACGGTCAGAGATCTAATTCGTTCAATTCCTTACTAATGTTTTTGAAATTTTATCTAGAGAAAGATGTAGATATTTTTTGTGCTTGATATTTCACATTTTATAAAATCTTTTAGTGAAATAAAAACGTCTTTCCTTCAAATATCATCTCAAATAAAATAGTTTATTAAATATATGGAGAGTTGAGTAGACACAATTTCAATGTTTTCTCAGTACTTTTTTTAATCTACCAAAAAACGATCAAAGCTCCACACATTCTTGTGAAAAAATTCGAATTTTTGATTTTAAGAAAAAAATAATTTTCGTTATTTTCTTGAAACTAGCTGTCAAAATTTGTAATCTTCATGACAACTAATTCGAAAAATCTGGTAAAAATCATTAAATTTTAGTTAAGAATCTCCAACCTTACGGTTACCTTACACGGTTCTTACTGTTACAAATAAGAGTTAGATAAACTGAACTATTCTATTTCGAATAACATATTATGAGAAGTACACATTCCTCATACAAAAAATAATGTATTTTCTATTCCACAGGTGGTTTTAAATTTAGCAATGCATCCGTATTTCTTTACTAAAAACTCCTATAATTGATTAATTTTTTCCACACGTTATCAAAATCGCAGTTAACCCATTATTTGTGACACCAAAGCGTTAGTGAGAGATTATACTCTTAAGAAAGCTTTTCCTGTGACTTGTTTTCCTTTTTTGGGAGCGAGTATCGGTATACTCATACTCATATTTGTAGCGGTTATAATGTGAGCATATTCGAATTATCAAGTATTTAAGGTGTAGTGCAGACGTGCTGATTTGGCATGCAGTACATAAAACACATATCGAGAACCAAATAAATAAATCTATAAATTTTTGTTGAATTTCTGCTATTATCACTTACAAATACAATGGTGACTATATAACTTGTGGACTTTTTTCATTGCTGTAAGCAGAGGTCATAGATTACTGATTGTTATACTCTTACGCCTACACTTAAATCACTTATAACGGTATCAACAGTTTTAAGTTGAGAGTACAAACGAAAACATAATATTATATATGCATTTGAGCCACTCATTGGTCTTATCTCTCGGCTAAACCGTTGCTTTAAAACGTAATTGAAAAGTAAGCTTATTTATTTTGAATCTTTGTATGTACATGCATACCATACATACATGAAATGTATGGCGTACGGTGTGTTAAGGTCAATATTCATTAATTAAACAGCTGATTATGGCATTAAAAATATATTCTTTGCTTTGGAATAAATATTTATGGAAAATTCCTGACCACAATCAACACTCTTTTGAATTAAGAAAAAATTAAGTTTTCTTTCAACAAATTTTCTTGTCTTGTTCGAACTTACACTTAAATTTGAGTGTTATCCTTTATGTGAGTGTATATCTCTGTGTCTTATATATAGAATTTTTCTCTCTTACTGCTGAAAACACAATAACAAATTGAAATACTTCTTCGATAATTTTTAAAACGTTTTTAATATCTTTTTTTTTTTTACAAATTGCCGTTGTAGGCTCGACGCGCACGTTTCGAATAAGAGAATGTGAATGATTCGAGAATCGCAGTGGTTCGCTAAGCTGAGATTGAAGCTCGCGATAGCTTCCTTTACTAATAAATATGTTTAAATTTTATATAGAAAATATATATTTGTATATATACGCATACATACATAAGTTAAAATAAATCAGTCAATTAATACATGTGATATTTATAAAAATGAAGGGTGTTTTTTAGAGGTGTACATTTTTATTTCAAATAAAACGCAATAGTATTCTATATTTTCTAGGCCTTTCATTATGTAGACCATCCTATCGGTACAATTCTGACCCATGATTCGGAAAGTCTATAAAAATAGATATAGCCGTTTTGACCCGCCCTCTCAAAATCAACACTGGAACACGTGCGAATAGACTTCATTTATGATATATCTGTCACATATTTATTTACTACCTAGCCCTATTTACATCATCCCTATAAATCTAAACGAAACTTGATCTTTCTTTCACCGAGTCAAATCGAAAAAATCTATGTGGTCCATAGTTTGTAAAAGTTCCACTGACATTTTTTTTCGAATTGGGCACGGTGTTAAGCAAATGATATCGTGGTAAAATTGGAGTGAAATATTATATCTTTTTCTACAATCAAGCGTCGTCATTTTTTGAAAAACTATCTACTCTCTTTGACCAAGTGTCAAGCTTTGAAAGACTTTGACTTTGAGTTGGTATGGTATACCTTAAAAAGGGGGGTGTGTGACCAAGAAGTTTTGGTAATCAGCTCTAAGCTCTTTAAAGTTTTTTTTTTATTTTAACGGAACAGGTGATGGGCAAGTTCACTCTATATTAAAGGAGGAAACAAATGGAGGTTTCCCAAATACCACAGTTTAATTGTTCCGTATGATATAGCAGCCTTTTCAATATCTTGCAGAAATATTTCGTTATCATCTAATTACCATTCTAGCAATGGCTACTTTGGACACAAAATCTCACTTGGAAAAGATCCATACGTGGGGATGAAAATACCATTAAATAAAAGCTCCCGAGAAGCCAGAGCAGCTTTTAGGGTGATCTAGAAAAATATTCTTTAAAAATAAATGTGGAGTTGTCTTGCTATTATTACACGCGGACCGATGTTCCCAGATTTTTCAGCTACGCTGGGTTAAAATTTTACGTTAATACCGTTAAGTCAATTAAAATTTAGGGGCTATTATCGCTAGCCCACTTCGTCCGAAGGGTCGGTAACTCTCCAGCTCTAGAAAGCGCTTAATCTGATAGTTGCTGGTTGTAGAAGGATTTGGACTCACTTGACCAACGTACAAAAGTGTAAACAAAATCTGAGTTTTCATTTTGGCCAATTCAAGAAGAAGCTGACAACTTTTTACAGTTCCAGTAAGCATAAACTGCCGAGATCTTTGTAATTGAGACCTTCTGGTTTCATCAATTTGTTTACCTAAAACGTCCTTTGCACTTCTCGCAACATTTTTCTAACCACAATTTTCATATAAATTAGTAAGACTCACCATGGGGGCACTTCCGGTCTCCGCAGTCCTTTGGTTATCGCTGCTATCTTTCATCTCAGTATTTGCTGAATGTTGTAAACGCTTGCGGCGACACATTAGTGGAAACTCGCACTGATCGCACACACTTTAAAAGCTAAATAATTTAACGAGCGCGCAATTTACCTCAACGCTTAACTAAAACTGAACGCCCCTTGCAATCGATGACTGCGCTCGCTTCAATGCCGATGAAAGTTTAAGCTGCACAATAGCAATTTAGCAATAAAACAACAACTGCAGCAAATGATCTGCTGTGTGATCTTCACTTGATGTATAAAGATTGTGTGATTAGTTTGTGGTTGCAAAGACGCTGGCGTGTGGCATGAATATTCACGAGTTGATAATGTTTTTTCAATGCACTTGTAACATTTGGTTTTTCACTAATTACTGAATGCTTACGATGTTGTTGCTTTTGTTCCTTTTGTTGTTTATACGAATTGTTTGCATGATTTAGTGGCATTTGTTAGTCGGTGCAGAGAGTTGTAACTTCGAATAACTCTGAACCGTTAGTGTTGCGTATCTGCACGATTGTGTGGCTTTTATCCACAGCTCAGCCGCACAACCACAACAACAACATTTTTGGTATTTTCATATTTTTGTGTGATTTACTCAATTCCATTGGCCACCATGCCAGCCAGCAGACGCGGCTTGCTGGTTTACTGGCTTTCTTTGTATGTCTCCAGTTTACGTTGTTGTTGCTTTACCTGTCTTCAATGGCTCTACAACCTGCGCTTATTCTGTTTTTTGTTGTTTTAATATTTTCTCTTTGAGTGTTTGCCAACAGCGGTATCAGTGGCACAACAAAAACAACAACAACAAGCCAGTACGCTTGAATCCAATTGGTGGCAACTAAATGTGTTGACATGTGTGCTCTTTGAGTGTTTTCAAATCGACAATTAATGCCTGCTAACAGTAGCAGTTCGGCGGCAGTTTTCGGGTCATTAACATAAACAACGGCAACTTAGGGCACGGACATGTGTATGTGTGTGTGTGTGTAAGTTAGGGTACCAATCTACATAATTATGTTGATATCACATGCTACCTGTGTATACGTGCACGTGAACATTGTTTGTTGTTTTGTTGTTGTAATATTGTTTTTGTTGTGATATTGTTTTGCCATCTTTCACCTTCTTTAATAAAAACATTGAGAATTCTTTGTTGTTTGTTTTACCCAAAATAATATTTACCAAAGAGAAATGTTACGTGTTCTGCTGTTAGTCGAGCGTCTTAGCTCAAGACTCCTCTTAGGTAAATAGTTAATAAAGTCGAGGCTGTAGTTGCTCAGCTGACAATTTGTTTCCAAATAATTTCATCAGCAATTTTTGCTATTGTGGGTCATGTTGTTGCGCTAAGTTGGGGCATTATGATAAATTAATTCAGAATGAAAAAGAGATTAAAGAAATTACGTGTCTCTTAAAATTTTATGCATAATTGGAAAGTAGTAAATTTGTAACACTGACGTAGTTTTTGATTATGGTAATAATATGCTTTATGAATTTCATTCCAATGTAATTATAAATAATAGATTTATGTGACGCAAGGATCAGAAACCTCTCGAAAATATGTTATATATTTTTATATAAAAAATGCAATAAAGTGTAATAAAAGCAAGAAAAAACGTTAACTTAGCTTGCACCAAAGCTATAATACCCTTCAAAAATACAAAATATGGCATACAAGGACTTGATTTTGATCGTCTAGTTTGTATGTGAGCTACATACTTGTATATCCTTAAGTAATGCGATCTGAATAACTTATTCGAATATTGTACCGCTGCTTTGGGCAATAATCCATGCCAAATTTCCTCAAGATATCTCAGCAAATAAACAAGTTTTCTATACAAGGACATGATTTCGATCGTTCAGTTTGTATAGCAGCTATATGCTAAAGCGGTGAGTTAAGTTCGGTGCCAAAAAATGAGAAGCTTTTTGATAAGAAAAGGGTATGTGCAAAATTTAAAATCGATATCTCAAAAATAAGGGACTTCGCGTATATACAGACAGACGTACATGCCTATATCGACTCAGCTCGTTTCTTTTGGGCGTTACAAACTTCGTGGCACACTTAATTTGTTCAGTTCTATAATAATTTAGTTTATTAAAAAGCAACATGAAAAAATTATATAAAAAACAAGTAAGGAAGGGCTAAGTTCGGATGTAACCGAACATTTTATACTCTCGCAAGGTCAAATGGTATACTCGTTTGAGATTTCTTTGTGGATTGACTGATATTTTCGGTAGAAGGTCAACTATAGGCACTGGGGTCCACATATTCAGTACCTAGGGGCTTGAACAGTTTTGGTTCGATTTAGAAAATTTTTGGTCACAAGGTGGCATACTTTAAACGTATTATTCACGCAAAGTTTTACGCCGATATAATCATTGTTGCTTGATTTGCATAGTGGAAAGTGAAAGAATCAACTGGTATTTAAAATGGTGTCATATGGAAAATAGGCGTGGTTGTAATCCGATTTCGCCCATTTTCGCACTATGACATAGAAACACGAAAAGAACGTTACGCACCGAATTTGGTTGAAATCGGTTAAGCAGATCTCAAGATATGGGTTTTCACCTAAAAGTGGGCTGTGCCACGCCCACTGTCTAATTTTGAACGCGGTTCCTATAAAGTCATCTTATACCATCTCAGAGATAAAATTTAATGTCTCTGGCGTGTTTAGTGCTTGATTTATCGCGCTTTTAGTAGTTTTTAACAGTACCGTTATATGGGGAGTGGGCGGAGTTGCCACCCGATTTCAACTATTTTCACACCGTCAATAGAAGTGCTAAAAACATTTGCTTCCAGTGAATTTTGTTAATATAGCATTAGCGGTTTAGGAGATATGCACATTAAACCTATTAGAGGCGGGACCACGCCCACTTTAAAAAAAAAAAATTTTAACTGCAGATGCCCCTCCCTAATGTGATCCTGTGTACCAAATAACAGTCTTGTATCTTATTGCGGAGCTTAGTTATGGCAAGTTATTTGTTTTTGATTAATGGCGTTTTGTGGGCGTGGCAGTGGTCCGATTACGCCCATCTGCAATACCAACCGTCTCACGGTACCATGAAACATGTCTACCAAGTTTCATAAAGATATCTCAATTTTTACTCAAGTTAGAGCTTGCACGGACGGACGGACAGACGGACAGACGGACGGACAGACGGACGGACGGACAGACAGTCACCCGGATTTCAACTCGTCTCTTCATCCTGATCATTTATATATATATAACCCTATATCTAACTCGATTAATTTTAGGTGATACAAACAACCGTTAGGTGAACAAAACTATTATACTCTGTAGCAACAGGTTGCGAGAGTATAATAAATTAATGAATAAATAACTAAAATATAACCTAATAAATAAGTAATGATCTTCTGGCAATTTATGTATTCCATTCCAAAAGAACAGCGCCGGCAAGGGCGGCCAAGAATGAACCAAGCCATTTTTTAGTACCATGTTCTGATGTGAAACGTATTTCAGTGAGGGCGTTTTACATCAACCGGAACCAAATGGTTGTTAGAAGAGACAAGGTCTGAGTTATAAGGCGGTTGAGGCAAAATTTCCCAGCCGCTAATTTCCCAATAGATTTTATCTGGGCTTGCAACATGAGGCCGTGCGTTGTCAAGATGGAAAATTATTGCCTCTTATCTAGTTGTGAATTCCGGACGTTTTTCGGCTATCGCTTGCTTTAATTTGATGAGTAGCGTTCCCAATTTATAGTTTCAATCGGTTTTAAAAACTCATAATAAAGCACGCCGTTCTGATCGCACCAAATACAGAGCTTTACCTTCACATCATAGATATTCGGCTTTGCTGTTGATTTGGCTATTTGGCCAGGTTTCAAATATTATGTTTTGCATTTAGAGTTGTCGTAATGGATCTATTTTTCATGACCAGTAACAATCCTATGAAAAAACGACTTTTTTTGTAGCGT